TCTTTCCCTTATAAAGTTAGTAATTAATGAGTAATAGCTGTTTTGAATGTAACTGAAAATTGTTTAAAGATGGGTCTTGGGAAAATTATTGCTAGGTGGACCTTTGGTAGGAGGTAACTGCTGCTATCTCTGACCATCTTCTCCTTTCCCCTTTAAAAGAAGACAAAATCCAGTAAATATGTTGCAGGAGCTGTGCGCATTATATAAAGGCACCAAGAACTATATTGGAGATTTTTTTATTCTTTTTTTCTTCTCCAATATATATCTACTTCCATCTTGATGTTTGCTATTTGTGCTGTGGCAGCTTGCCAGACAAGAAAAGAGTTGAGGAAGATGGCTTAGATAGTTCCTTTGAAGCATCAGGCCGCATAAAGCTAGTAAGATTACACTTTTTTTTCCTTTCTATTTTGCTTAAAGAAAAAAGAAAAGAAAAGAAAAGAAGAAAGTAGCTCACTATCTTATTTATTCTTACAGTAAGCCCTTCTTCTCCATGTTGTACAAAGACCTTAAGCATAAAGCCAGCCTAAACTCATCTGTAAAATGACTTATTTTTCTTTTAAATATAATCAAGGTTGTTTCCTCCCCATCAAATTATTTGTTTATTTTCTTATGGTGGGCCAATGGGACGAAGAATTAGCTTAATACATTTGAGTCAAATTTCACTTATGGTCCCAACTGTATTAATGCAGTTGAATGGAATAAAATATTCTAGTGTTTTATTATACATAAAATTAAAAAAACAAGTTAAGTTGATTTGGTAGCTTTTCCCAGAACATTAATTGATTAGGTGAATCCTCCTGGGGCATAATTCAAGAAGCAATTGCTAACTATATGATTTTTGGATACAATCTGATTGCAGAATATGGGGCAATTGAAAAACTCTGCCAAATCCAAGAAGAAACAATCTCCTAAGACTGAAGTGCAAAATTCTTTAAAGCAAGAGGTATGCAACTGAACTTCTTCACTTTTCAAACCATATCTTATGCTGGTCTTTCTTGCTCTGAGTTGGATATTATTTGAACGTGTTTATGCAGATTCTACAGCTTGAGAAAAGATTACAAGATCAATTTGAGGTCCGTCGTGCTATGGAAAATGCTTTGGGTTACAAGACTTCTTCCCATGATAGTACGACTGAGCTGTCAATGCCTAAGGTAAATTCTTGCCATAATGGTTTTATGGAAATAGAAATAATTTATCGTGAATGTCACTGTTATTCAGAGTGAGTATCCAGAATTGGGGTTTTTCCACAGAACTTGTAACCATGTCATCTGTTGAGTTGCTGAAATCTTATCATTACTTTGGGAAACTCTGCTGATAATTTGTAATTGCAATTTTTTGCACTGGTTTATGTAACTTATATGTAAAATGGAATTATAATGCTAGAGATAACTGTTGGGCTCAAATTTTTGACTTACTACTTCCTGTGCTTTCTGTAACTCCAGCCAGCCACAGAATTAATTAAAGAAATTGCGGTACTGGAGTTGGAAGTTGTACATCTGGAACAATATCTTCTCTCCTTGTACAGGAAGGCATTTGATCAGCAAACATACTTGGTTTCTCCATCTAAACAGGATCGAAGTCTAAAAACCCCTGTCACAACCCCAAGACGAAGGTTGTTTGATGTTTCCAGGCCTGAGACATCAAAGAAGGAAACTTCAGCAACTCAAACTGCTTGTCAGTCACGTGACAATAAATGGAAGGAAACCAATGTTATTGGAGGAGAAGAGAAACTATTAGATTCTGGAGTTCATCGCTGTCACTCTTCATTGTCACAACGCTCAGCATTTTCAAATAGAACCTCTCCTCCAGAAGAATCTCTTGGTAGGGCTGTACGTGCTTGCCATTCCCAGCCATTGTCCATGATGGAGGTAATTTTGAGTGCTAGCACACAAATCATTAGTCTTTGTGGTGTTCTTTTTTTTGTTCTCTGCACAAGGTGTTTAATTGACTATTTGTGTGCCGAAACAAAATGCATGGAAATCATGTGTTTTCATTGACTTCTTTCTTGGAGATGGGGAAGAGCTCTGTAATTGGCAATCCATTTCCAAGTGCAACAATAATAGAAAAGTAACAGTAGGGCGATCAATTTCTTCACACAAATCTGTCAGCCTTGAGTTGATTAGAAATTTTGTGCTTTTTATGCAGTATGCGCAGAGTGCTTCAAACATTATCAGTTTGGCTGAGCATCTTGGTACTAGTATTTATGACCATGTTCCAGAGACACCTAACAAGCTTTCAGAGGATATGATAAAGTGCATGTCAGCTATATATTGCAAACTTTCAGATCCACCTTTGACGCATAATGGCCTTTCATCTCCCAATTCATCTTTATCATCAATAAGTGCATTTTCCCCGCGAGAACAATGTGATATGTGGAGTCCAGGATTTAGGAATAACTCATCCTTTGATGTGCGATTGGATAACCCTTTCCTTGTTGAAGGCCTGAAAGAGTTCAGTGGACCATACAGTACAATGATTGAAGTGCCATGGATTTATAGAGATAGTCAAAAGTTAGGAGATGTTGAAAACTTGCTACAAAATTTCAGGTTAGTTGTTCTGCCCTTTAATTACTACCAGAAAACGTGTAAACAGCAAGTATTTCTGTTATCTAGAGATTTTTAATATACTCGTTAGGTTCTGCTGCAGATCACTTATATGTCGATTGGAAGAAGTCGATCCTAGGAAGCTCAAACATGAGGAAAGACTAGCTTTCTGGATCAATATACACAATGCACTAGTGATGCATGTAATGGCTCTTTTCCTTAGAAATACTTGCTTAAAGAGCTAATTCCATATTTTTTCTATCTTTGACATGAGTTTCTAATCTTCACTGCTTTCTAATAGGCATTTCTGGCGTATGGGATTCCACAAAACAATGTTAAGAGGCTCTTTCTACTTTTGAGGGTATGGAAAACTCTTTTGCGTTTCCTTTAAGGAAGAGGTTTTGTGAAAAATATACTTGTGCTTACACTATTGCTCTATGCAGGCTGCATATAATGTTGGGGGTCATACATTTAGTGCAGACACGATACAGAGTTCTATCCTTGGATGCCGGATGTCTCGTCCTGGACAGGTGGATCTTGAGAGATCATATTGAAATTAAGAAACCGGTCATTGAGATTATTATTAATATCTTGTCCAAGGGTTTTGGTGCTTTTGGTCATCAATTTTTCATGCCTTCAGTTGATATCCATGCAGGATGTGGCATCTAGAGTTAAACCATTTATCATGAAAGGTCTTCTCAAATAGACAGGGGCACTTGTTTTTGTTTCATCAAAAGAAAACATGCATGCTTTTACAAAAAGAAATATGATAATATATCTATTTCCAGTAAGCATATTTGTGCTTAAAATAATTCTTGTGGGATAAAGCAATGCGCTTGATTTGCTGTCAGTTACATAGCAAAATTCTTCTGATTCTGTGGTCCTGACAAAGCTTGTCTCTAATTGCAGTGGATTCGATTTTTAGTTTCATCAAAGTTCAAATTCAAGACTGTAGAAGAACGGCAAGCATATGCAATTAACCGTCCAGAACCTCTTTTGCACTTTGCACTCTGTTCTGGAAGCCATTCTGATCCTGCGGTACTTCATTTCCTTTTACCTGTTACAAAATTTTCAAAACATGAGTAGCACTCACAAGTAACACACGGTGCAGCATGAGCATGGCTTGCATATAGTTTGTAATATGTAAAACTAACGAGGAATAACCAGACCAAAAATAAATGCATATATCTCCATTCGAGTGGAAGTTTCTGATTAGTCCATCCACTTAGCCTGCGCAATGTCTTTTCATGGCACTCTGTCATAAAGAACTTCATTTGTTGATCATCACCATGCATTAGTTTCCAAAAGACCTACTTCCACTTTGACTGATGTAAAAAGCATATTAAGAAATGTCTGTCTCAGCAACAAAAACTAAACATGGGTTTCTCTCTTCTTCGCAGACCTGGTTTTTGTGGAGTTTGGTCACATTTTCTGTCTAGTCTATCTTTTTCTAAGGGAACTTGTACAAATATTTTTGCCAGGTTCGTGTCTACACTCCAAAAAGAGTAATCCATGAGCTTGAAGCTGCGAAGGAAGAGTACATCCGAGCTACCTTCGGTGTCCGCAAGGGCCAGAAAGTCCTACTTCCGAAGATCATGGAATCCTATGCAAAGGATTCAGGTTTATGTCCAGCGGGTCTTCTTGAAATGATCCAACAAACTCTGCCTGAATCTGTAAGGAAGTGTCTTAAGAAATGTCAGCTAGGAAAGCCTCGTAAGACTATTGAATGGATTCCACATAATTTTACTTTTCGGTACCTGATATCTAAAGAGCTTGTAAAGTGATCCTGGCACTCGATCTCATTCGCCTAGTTCTTAAGGTTTTTATATTTTGAGATTTTGAAATTTTTTTCCTTGTACAAATTAGGAGATGAACCGGAAATGGAGGATAGAACAATGCTATATTTTGTTTTGTATAACTTGCTCTCCATTCTGCTTGTTCCAGTAGTGGAAGCTTTCATGATTTCTGTGATGTTTGGAAAGGAAATGAAAATGTGCATTGAATATTATACATGTACCTACTGCGTTTTACTTGAGATACATGTGGACAATTCATTAATTTAGTTATTATATGGTTCCTTACGAGTACACAATCTTGTATGGACCGTTGACACAACCAATCCAATGAAGAAAACGGTAAGAAAATAACCATCTAGGTGGTGGCCAAGTGGTAAGAATTTGGGATTAAGGGGTTTGCTCCCTCTGTGGTCTCAGGTTCGAGTCCTTGGTTGCTCATATGATGGCCACTGGAGGCTTACATGGTCGTTAACTTCAGGGCCCGTGGGATTAGTCGTGGTGCGCGCAAGCTGGCCCGGACACCCACGTTAATCTAAAAAAGAAAACGGTAAGAAAACTATTTAGGTGGTGGTTAAATGGTAAGAACTTGGGATCAAGGGGTTTGTTTCCTCTATAGTTGAGTCTTTGGTTGTTTATATAATGGTCACTGGAGGTTTACATGGTCATTAACTTCAGTGTCGGAACTTGGGATCAAGGGGTTTGCTTCCTCTGTGGTCGAGTCCTTGGTTGCTCATATGATGGTCACTGGAGGTTTACATGGTCATTAACTTCAGTACCGGTGGGATTAGTCATGGTGCGCGTAAGTTGGTCTGGACATCCATGTTAATCTAAAAAAAAAGAAAACGGCAAGAATCAGTTGTCTGAGTACTGATGATGCGGCCTCTGTACATCACATACACGGGTTGGCATTCTCACATCTAAAAGCGTGCGGCTGCTGCACCTGCTGCACTCCAGTCAATATATTTTAGTCATGACTGCTGCTAGCATTTCTCATTGAATGAAACGCCTTCATGTGAGACTCTACTTTTTGCTCAAGAGATCCCTAGCACGCTTGTTTACACCAGAAACTGAACCTTTAGTAGAGCAATGTCCCATTCCAGGCAAGACCATCGTCTCTCACCTTGAGAACTGAAAAAGATCCTACTAGCTTGATGGTGGTATAGAAGTGGTTCTGGTTATGGCTATAGCTATGGTTGTGACTGTACTAATGCTTCGAAAGGGAACTTCTACAAAACAACAAAAGCAGCAGCAGTAATTAATGCTATTCATCCAAGTAAGCTAAATAATATCAATTACTTGATAGCTAATTGGTGTCATGTGGATCCACGGCTCAATTCTTAATAGATATTTTGGGATAAATAGAATCACTCCATGGGGTTGGTGAACATGTGATGGGCAGTCTCAGCTCAATTATTACAACCTTTCAGGGTAGATACCGATTCAATTATTGCAGGGTGGTTCTGTTCACAGTGAGGCGGTACAGCTCGCCAATGTTCACAATTGTCAGTGAAGATCATCTATAGAACAAGCATCTGAAAGCAGTATAATCACCCTTTCCATTAGATCTATGCTTTTGGAAAGATCATTTTGGCGAAAACCAAATGCAAAGCCTTGAAATTTTTTAGCACGACTCTTAGGCCATCAAAAGAGCTGCACTAGGATTGAGACAATTGTGCTTATAAAGTTGTATGCGTGCAAGTTCATTCTTTGCTAAAAGCGAGAGAAAAGACAAGGAAATCTGCACGTCCCCTACTCACGAAGCATAAGTGCTAAGATCTTCATTTAAAAGAACACTTACACAATACAGAACTTGAACAAACACAGATGACTAGAGATTTATTTAAGTAGCTATAACTTGTCTAGTATGGGCTTTCCCCTTTAATATTCCCAGGAGGATCATAAAAACATACAGTTAAGCTAGCTTGCTCGGTCACGCATGTTGCTTGTGCACACCCCAACTCCAGAGATTTCCTCCACACCACCTGTGTGTAAACACCACAACTATGATTTGGCGCACAGGAATTGTCAGTGTGGTTATAGTAATTCTTCTCTTGCACCCAATTATCAACAGCCATACGTGGAGTCATAGCCGTGCCACTAGACCATAACTGATTTCCACCATACTTACTGTTGCTCAAGTTTGCAAATTGGCAACCCATTTTGTTCCTTTGGTACCTGACTATTCTGCTTGTGGCATTGGCTAGCATTTCGCTCCACTTGAGAGGGCCAACACCGACTGCTGCTCTTGCTTGGTTGTGAGGTTGTAGGAACTCATTAGCTACATTTGGTAGTGGTATTGGGGTTGTTGTGACTTGGGTGGGGTTGTGGCTTGCTGCAGGAGCTGCACCATGGGCTGAGTTGTGGCATAAAGCTAGAACCAGAACAAGAAGCAAGGAGTAGTAAGCCATTTCCTTAGCTAGATTTTGACAACGTCATGTAATCTCGAGCTTGCCGATCCAGTTTATTAATAGATTTGCTCGTGTGGATGGGCTGTGCTTAGGTGAAATGACTAGTTTGGCCTTCGCACGTGCACCCTCACTTTTAAGGATGCCGAAAGAAAATTAGACTTTTATTTAATAGTTTTTGAATAGATTTTGGTATATAATCTTCTTCTTATATATATATATATATATATGGGTACGAGAGAGAGGGTTGGAGGCATTATTTGGAATGCAATGGTGAAGATGATTGAGCTACAAAACTTGTTGGGCATGGAGACAAGGAGCCTTGAAGCAGAAGGAATGGTCAGACAATGCCCACCAAAATGGGGTTGGAGATCATGGCTTGTTACATTGTTTATACATGCGAACACTGTAAGATATCGTGCGGTATGCGATGCTTATTATTTTTTTTTTTTAAGTTAAAGTTCTTTTAAAATATAGATTATGATATCTTTAAAAATTAAAAATATATATTTTTTATTGGTTTTTTTTATATATACATATCCCACTAAGAAAACCCAACCACATCCCTAACCTAAACTTATTTAAGTAAAATCTTGTGTTTCTATATGTTACATGTAATTATAATTTTTACGATTCAACTATAATTTTTAAATAAAATGAAATTTTTGTAGATTTAAATTAAATTTTATTTTTGAATTTTTTTAATATATTAATTTTTTATAAATATTTTTTAATATATTTTTCAATACAATTTTTTTAAATCTTGATTCGTGACACGCGTGGTCAGATTGTTATTTTGGAAGCAGCAGAGGAAGTGAGCTTGGCATGTGCTAAAGAATTCTTTATATATATATATATATATACAGTCAAGGACGACTTTATTGCCATGCCCCACGATCACTGCTTTGCTCCTTGTTGCCAAAAAGCGTCCTGTAGGTGACATGTTAGCTGCAGCCAGCAAGGGATGGCTTCATTTAAGGTCGAACCGTGAAGTTCAATGGCACGAGCCGGAATGTTCATGGGAGCTGGGCTGATCTCACACCCAGATGAATTATGTATTTGGACTTGTGAATTAGACCTAGACGGGGAATAATTAAGAGGATATTATTATTAGTTGATTTCTAAATTTATTTTAAAAAAATAGACGGAAGGAGAGAAAATAAAATTTATATCCGCTGAAAATGATAATAATATTTTCTCCTTATATATTTTTTAAAATAAACAAGATTTTTGTGTCATTCAAAGAATTTTTTTAAATGAACACTAAGATGTATATGCATAATTTTGATTATTCGAACTTACAAACCAAACCCTATATTCAAAAGCCATGGGACACGCCGGCCCTCCCGTAAAATTCCGTTACCCAATTGAATTAGAGCTGTTTTGATAATGTAATAGAAGTTGTTTTTAAATTTTTTTTAAATAATATATATTTTAAAATAAATTATTTTTAATATTAGCATATTAAAACAATTTAAAAATACAAAAAAATTAATTTGAAAAAAACTAAAATAAAATAATATTTAAAATCTTTAAAAACGCTTTTAAAAATGTTAATTGACCAACATTTACCCAATTAGATGTTGACATGTGCCAACCCTTTCATGAAAACATAATTTTCAAAGAAGAATTTTTTTTTTTCTTGAAATTGAAAATAATAAAAAAGTTATTTATCATTATTTAAAAATGAAAAATCAGTAAAAAAAACTCATTTTCATAAGGAAATTATAAATAGAAACAAATCTAAAAAAATTGAAAGTAAATGATAGTAGAAAATTATAAGACCAAAGCAGACTGAATCATCATAAAACTGAAACAATACTTATATTCACATTAAGTATTCACAAGATGATCAAAATAGCTCTAAATAATTTTAAATAACTTTCCAAACTTTATAGATATCAGTTCAAATCAACCTCTATAATGAAAAATAAGTATAAACTTGGCACTTACAACTACTATTTACCTTGGGAACGTAAAAATTTGAATTAAAGGGTTACTTGAAGCAATTGAAAGTTTGAAGACCCTAATGAGAAGTATGGAAACCTAGAAGAACATGAAGTTCAAGAATCAAACCACTTTAAGGTTAACAAAAAAAAGAAGTGGGGTGAAAGTCCTGTTCACCAAGAGAAAAAATATTGTGGATTCTAAGTGTTTTACAATTTATTTTTAATTTTTTTGGTTCTTTGGTTTTTTTCATTTTGATTTATCAATTTTTTTTTATTTGTTCATGCATAACACACTAAATGACTTGTGTCTATTAGTGAATAAAAGTTTTCCCTGTAATTATTATGCTTGATTTTATGTATTTTGCATCCCTTTTACTTTTATTTGTTATATACCATTAGCACTTGTCTTGTAACAAATTAAATATTGAGAAAAATTTTCTGGTGAAAGAAAAACCTTCAGTTATTAGATGAACATGAATAAATTATAAAAAAAAATAAAATTGAATCTGGCATAATTGTAAGGCTGAAACTTGGATGAGATTAAACAACTTGTGTATTAGTTAATAAAAATTGAAACTTTTTTCTATAATTACTCAAGCTTGATTTTGTGCATTTTGCATCCCTTTTACTTCTGTTTGTTATATATACCGCTAACGCTTGTCTTGTAACAAGTTAAATAATAAGGACATTTTTTATTTTTGTGTAACAAGGAAAATTTGAAATATAAACAGATGTTAATCTAATTAAGAGAGAATCACCACATAAAATCTTAATGAAGATTAAACTAACTTGAACGAAAATCAATCCTTCAATATGAACATACAATGCTTCTTTGGGATTCAGAATTTGAGTTAATTGGCTCTCTT